TTTCACTTTTTAAATTGCGTGAGGATGGTGGTAGTTGATCTATTGCGTAAAAGATGGTTCTTATAGTTCTTAACTTTTAACATGTCTTTAGAAAGTTATCTATTGGAGATAAAAGGCTATAATACGTTGAAGGCTGCTTTCATGACTCATGAGGATTGATCGGTTTTATTATTATTATTATGTTATTATTAATGGAAAGACTTTAAAATTTTTATTTATAACAAATTAAAAAATTATTACTTCTTTTCTAAAAATGATTACTTGTTTTTTTAATTAACTATTTTAGTTTCATTTATTGATAATTTTCAGAAAAAAGGTTATCACTTCCTATACTGTTTTAGTCAATAACCCAATCAAATTAGTTATTTTTCAATTTATAATAGTCATTGAGAGCAAATATGTCATTTGTCAAAAATTAAAATGCCAGACAAGTTCCTAAAGACAAAATAACAATTATCGCATTTTGAAATATTAATTGTCATTAGTTGCATATTTTAGGGATATTTTTATACATGAGAATTTTCATAAAATATAATTTTTATACATGAGTATTTTCATAAAAAAATAATAAAAATTAAATATTGTATTAAATTAAAATTTTTGGCTAAAAATATTAAATCAAATTTTATAAAGTGATTTTGTTTTGGGAAAGTTAATCATTATTAATACTGGGATTAGCACAGAATGGATCAAATTATATAGCTTGATTAAAACAAAATAAATTATAGGAAACTAATTCAAAAGTAAAAAAGAACTAATATACTATTTGAACCCCTGAATTATAGATTCAGGGGTGATTTAAATTTTAAATTTTTAAAAGATATATTTTGAATTTTAAATAGTTAAAGTTGGAATAATTTCACCTCTACTATTAAATTTTAAATAAATGTATGTCAAAATAAGACCCAATATGTAATTTTCACTGAATGAGGTTAGGAAAAAGAGGGATAGTTAAATTTGATAAAAATCACATATTATGCTTTAATTTAAAAAAAATAATAGACATTTGTTGAAAATTAACGGTGGAAGCAAAATTGTCTCAAATTTAATTAATTATAGTTTAGAATGTACTTTGTAAAAGTTTAGAATTCAAATTGTCTTTAAATTTATAGTTATGATTCAAATTACATATCAACAAATAAAAACTATAAGAACTTACAAATTAATCTTCTCTATTTAAAAATTATAATTTTGTCGCATATAAAATGGGTAATACATATTCAATATTTTTAAATTTTTAATGTTTTCTAAATGAAATGTACCAATTCATCTTCCTCCTTGAAACTAATGTGCCATACGAAGCAAATGTTTTTTTTTAATTTTTATAAATTAAAATTGTTTTAAGAAATTAATTTTTAATAACATAAATTAAAATTAAAATTATGTTTTATGTTTTAGCTTATTAAAATTAAATTGTAGTCGAATGTTTAAAAATATAAAATATTTTTTGAGGAGTTAGAAGTTGAATGTTAGATGTTAAAAAATAAGACAGTTATAGTATTTTAAAGTGTAATTAATGTATTTTTTTAAAAATGCTTGTAATAAATAAATAAATTTATATTATTTTAAAATAAAATATATTAGTAAAGAAAGGTAAATATGAAAACATGGTATTAGTTTGAAGATAATTGACTACTATATTGGAGGCAACTAACATTTAAATAAAAATAACTTATATTTTAAAATAAAATGTTAGTAACATTTTTTGTATATTATGTGAAAATAAAATAAATTATATTTATATTTATTATTCTAACAATTAAAAAAATTCTAATATCATACTAGGAATAAAAAATATAATTAATTGAAGTTATTAAAGCAATCAAGCATCGGATCCAACGCGGATTTTTTAATTTTTATAAATTAAAATTGTTTTAAAAAATTATTCTTAATAACATAAATTAAAATTAAAATCATATTTTATGTTTTATCTTTTTAAGATAAAATTGTACTCTCCCCTTTAAAAATATAAAGTATTTTTTGAGGGTTAAAAGTTTAATGTTGAATGTTAAAAAATATAAAGTTTTTTTAAAGTTTTAAGGTATAATTAATGTGATTGTGTTTTTTTTTAAATTCTCCTGATAAATAAATAAATTTATATTTATTTTAAAATAAAATATCTTATTAAATAAGGATAAATATAAAAATATGATATTAATTTAAAGATAACTGCCTACTTTATTGGGTGCAAGATTTGAAAAAAAATATTTCATATATTTTTTTATAAGCAAAATGCCTTATATTTTCAAAATAAAATGTAGTAATATTTTTCATATAATATGACAATAAAATAAATTATTATTTATATTTATATATTCTACTAACTAAAAAAATTCTAATATTATACTAGGAATTAAAAATATAATTAATAGAAGTTATTACAGAAATAAAAAAAACTATAGTTGTTTTTTGCGTTTTTAAAAAATTAATAAAATTCAATTTTCACTCTTCTCCTCCATTTCTCTTAAACTATGTGAACTAATGTTCACAGGTATAAAATCTAGTTAGTAATAAAATTATAAAAATTAAAATAATGTTAAAATTTCTTATTAATATTTTAAGTAATTAAACTCTTTTAATCTTTATAAATATTATAAATATAAAAGGTTCAAAATATTTTAATATTTATAATTTTATTTTTTAAAATATAAAAATTAATATTTAAGTGGTTGAAACTATATGAATTAATTATAAAAAAAAATTCAAGAACTGATTTATAAATGAATTAAAACTATAAAAATTAAGTTATAATGAGTTAAAATTTAAAAATTGAGTTACAATTAAATGAAAATTATAGAAACTAAATGATTAGTTTTTTCTAATTATTTATCTCTTAAACTATAAATTTAATTGTTAAATAAAAAATATTTATATTGAATATGGGATAACTTTTTGGAAAAATAACAATTAAGGACCTGCTAAGAATATTAATCCCAATTATGACTCGTGAAATTTTGAAATCAGAGTTAAAGACCATGGTCCTTAACTGTAATAAAAAAATATAATTTGTGAGGTGGGATTCACTAACGCAACTTGAGAATTCATTAACCCAACTTGAAAAAATTACTAGCATATATTGTGAAACATGAAACCCTACTTGAAAATGAAATGTTAACAAAAAGCACCAGTTGGAAATTCACTAACTAAACTTAAAAAAATTTCTAACATATATTGTGAAAAAATGAAACCCCACTTAAGAATCATTAATAAAAAGTGACTTATTCAAATTAGTATTTTTTTTATTAAACAATCGATTCCCAAATAAAATTTTATATTTTCACAATATATGTTAGAAATTTTTTCAAGTCGAGTTAGTGAATTCTCAATGGCGCTTTTTGTTAAACATTTAATTTTCAAATGGGGTTTCATGTTTTCATAATATACATTATAAATTTCTCAAGTTGGGTTAGTAAATTTCTAAGTAGCAATAATAAATTCCACCTCACAAATTATATTTTTTTTAATTATAATTTTGATCTGTAATTGAAATTAATGTCTCAAATTGATCCTTAATTATCATTCTCCCTAACTTTTTCTGTGCCTGCCTCCCAATTGACAGTACATGCATGATGATCGTCGAAATAATAAGAAGGGAAAAATGTGAAATGACCTTTTTAAAAGTGATGGGAAATCATTAGGCTGCCAAACACGCTGTATGGAAGTCTTGGGTAGTGGTTTAGCGCTTTTACTATTATGATTCCTCTGTTTTTATATATAAAATATTTTAAAAAATTTATTTATTTTTAAATATACAGAGTAATAATAATATTTTTAAGTATTTAGACAATTTTATTCTTATTTTAAAAAAATAAAATAGATTATTAATTGTATGTTTTCCCTATCACCATCATGATATTTATTATAATATTATTAAGGATAAAACTAAAAAATTATTGTGTTTTCATGTGAGTTCAACTAAATAATAAATTTTTATTAATATATGAGATTCAATTAAAAATATTTTATATATGAGGATGGATGAAGTAATTGAATAGAATATATATTTGAGCTTCCGTCTTTCATGCTCTATGATCTGTGCATTATCAAATGAAATAGCCTTTTGATTAAGTTGCTTCACACACCATCTTTCATAATTATGAGAAACCGTACATTCTTTTCTATCTTTGATATAAGGCAAATTTTTAAAGTTTTTTTGCCTTTAATATATGACAAAGTTAGAGTAGTTATTTTTTCCTAATTTGTTCCCTTGTTTATTTATTAATATTTTAATTCTTATACAAAATATAATATGATTATTAATTGCAAAGAAGGATAAAATTGGGAAGTTATATTTTTTGATATAGCTATTTGATTTGAGTTATTTGAGCATTGTTGGGTTAATTGGACAAGATATTTTCTATATTCACAAGGTCTTGAACCCAAGACTTCTTGCTTAAGAGGTTATAACCCCTTCGAGTCATATCCACGATTTGCGAGATTCCAAACAATCAATTGATAAAGATCATGAAGTAAAACCTGGAAGTCCAAATTTCATGGAGACAGAAGAGAAGAACACGGCCAAGAAAGATTTCTACCACGTGGGCAAAAGAGAACATCATGGCAGGAACTAGCAAACCTGAACTTGCATTTTGAAAAGCTGGGACCAAAACTAGGAATCATGGAGGACGGTTTGAACATCGTTGTTTTGGTAAAGAAGTGAGTAACTAGAAAGCTTGGGTTCGTACTGGGCTTAAAGGAGGATTTCTGGCTAGAACACATTGATCATGAACACAGAATGGAGTTCTTTGGTGCGGAGCAACATGATTGGATTAGAAGGAACGTTTAAATCACAGAAGAAAGCACTTAGTGTTCCTTATAATTCTTACTTTCTATTGCACGCTAGCTTCTTTAGAAAAGGCATAATGAAAGAATATTCTAGAATAAAACTACCTTGCATGCAACCATTAATGCGCAAGCTTTAGCCTTTATTAATACATTCCTTGAATGTCGCACTAAACTTAAAGGAACTGTATGGAGGAAACAGGATGGTCTTATCCTTAATGGCAATTGGACTTCATCGAACGATGATTGGCTTAATGAATGTGGATGGTGCTTTTGCTACAAACCAGAATATTGTGGGTTGTGGTGAATTCAAAGCCACGTTCATGTACAAGATGAATGATAGGGATCCTCTTCATGCCGAGCTATGGGCATGCCTGTGGGGATTGAAAATGGCTTGGGATTTTGGAACTCATAAACTTATCCTTAAGTTTGACTCCTATGACGCCGTTGAAGCAATCAATGGAGCAACATTCCTCAACCACACAAACTTTGTTGTCATTTATGAGATTAGAGACCTGTTAGCTCGTGATTAGGAAGTGCTTCTGCAGAAAATCTCAAGAGATGTTAATGAAGCTGTTGATAATCTTGCAAAGAAGGCTCTTTCGTACATGGCTGGATTGTACCCTTTACTTTCCCTTCCTGTGAAGAAAGCTCTTTCGTGCGTGGCTGGATTTCACCCTTTAATTTCCCTTCCCTTCTGCATAAGTTAATTACTTTCTTACAACAAGACTTGCCTGCTATTAATTAGTTTTTCCTTCTTTATCAAAAAAAGAAGTTATAACCCCTTCTACTAGGATCATTGGTTACGGTAAGTTACATATTTTTTAAATAATTTTAAGAGTATAATTACTATTTTTTAATAAGTAGAAGTTAGTTAAGTTTACTTTATATTAAAAATCAAAGGAGTAATCTATCATAATGGAAGAAATATTAACTAGTTTGTGTCAGAAAGGAAACGGATTAAAGAAACATTTATAGATACCATGGATTTATAGGAGAATCCAATAAATGTCTCAAATAAAAAAATAAATTATCTATAAGTCCTGTCCATAAATACCAGAGTCTAACATGTAAATATAAAAAATTTCCTTGTAAATGAACAAAGAGAGACGATTAATTTTTTTTTTTTACATGAGACTTGAATTTAAAGAAAAAAAGATTTTGAAATGATGATTGGTGATAGTGGTTTTTGTTGAGCCCTACACATGAGGTGGGGCTCACCACGCTACTTGTCCAGGAGGGGAGGACCAAGAGAGTGTCTTTCCCTCCCAAATGTGAATATCCCAAATTGAGTATTGTTTCCATGTTTAGCATCTGTGAAAAACGAACCGTTTTGAAATTATACTGAAATAATTTCAAAACATAATTATAAATGATCTGGTTTGTGGATAGGAAATATTTGAAGCTATGGACTATGGTGTGTGAGTGTGTCTTTTTTTTTTTTTTGAAACAACTGAATTTATTTGCTTAAAAAAAACAAAGGAAGCAATTGAATCAGAATTGAGTGTTAATTCTTGTGAGAAATTGTTGGATAACTAGGAATCCTTCAAATCGTGACTTAAATAAGTAGATAGAGAATGCAGCAATGTGAATTCCAAGAACTAATGCTACCTCTCTTGAATTTTATTTATTAGAGAATGTCATAAAATTAAGACATTATAAAGAGGCATTAATTTAAAGGAGCATGACATTTAAATTGTAGAAAGGAAAAAAAATAATAACAGATAGATCCCCAACAATTTTTCAAAAAATAATCACAATTATCAATTCAAACAGTTACAAATTAAAAGTTACATATGAAACTTAACCTAATATGCAAAACTTTTTTTAAAATTGACTATCATCTGAATGCAATTATTTGAATCAAGTAATTGCAATTCATTTTTTTAAAAAAAATATCGAGAATCTAACTATTATTATTTCAACTTTATGAGACGTGATTACTGTCGTCTCTTAATTTAATTGGGCAGACAGTGACATTCATAAACATGATTAATGCACATAGCACACCTTTCTTGACCAATCCCACACACGCCTCAATCGCACATTCTGAAGTGTAATTGCAAAGGGCACATGCAATTCCATCTTTCCATTTACATTCATCACCACTCTTGCTGCTTCTGATCCCAATCCTTCATCAACATATCAAAATTAATATAGAGCATCATATCAACAAGAAAAAAAAAAAACAAGAAATCATGTTTTTTCTTTTAAGTATATAATTTCATTCAATTCTTCATCAGAATAATACCATAAACTAGTTAGCCAAAAAAAAATTATTGCGTAAAAATCATACATATAATAATTAAATTCTAAAAGATTAAATTAATGACAATTAGATGATTAGATCCCCAAAAAAATTTTCTAAAAATAAATTGTATATATCAATTCAAACAAAAACTTCTGCTATAATCTGAGAGAGTTATATTTAATAATTAATTGTATGTATCAATTCAAACAAAAACTTCTGTTATAATCTAAGAGTTATATTTAATAATTAAATACTTATTTACAATTAAAATTTCTAAATTTATAATTATTTAGATTGATGTTTTTGACTTATTTTTCAAAAAACTTTGTAGGAAACTTATAAGTCATTAATTCAATATTATAAGACCTAACTATATTTCTCCTTAACTTTTGGTAAAATATATACTTCTATCGAGATTCATTTTTCATAAAAAAATAATAAAATAAAAATAAGAATATGCATATACGCACACATAGTAATTTTTGGCACTCATAATACAATGAAACCACCAAAAAAGGAATAAATTAAAAAAAACATCTAATCAAACATAAAATCTCTGGGTGAAGAAAAACCATGCATATAAGCCAACAATAGTTAGCTAGGTCCAGTAAAAAAGGCTAATACGATACATAGTGAACCAACATTTAATTTTATTAAAAGTTGTGTCAGTATTTGATTATATCTTAAATAAAATTAATTCAATAAAAAGATATATGTAAAATTAAAAAAATTTCAATATGTATAGAGAAATGTCACTATCAAGGTTGCTCTACATGCGTCAATCATCTTTGTCAATGTCACTATCCTCATTAATTCCTCTTTCATTTTCCAGTACTTCAGTTCATCTCATCAATAAATTTCGTATTCTTTGTTATCAATTTCAAGAGAGCTACCTATGTGCGGAGGGCCTAGAAGTGGAAACATCTAAATTTATTTCTCTTTAAACTTAACGTGCTCAATTCTCACAAATAAATTAGATCCAAACTTTCACATCTTCATTTTCTAGATGCTATATAGTCAAGTTATATATTCAACAATCATAGGAATCAGTTTTGCTGTCCAACCAAACAACTCAAATCCTAATTCAACAGTGTTCTGACTGGTTTAATAGAATACTATATTTATAACCTATTTAACCGCACTAAAACCCATTAACCCTTGAAATAATATCTTGACTGGTCATTTCAATATCTTGTTTTAAATACACAAAATAGCTTCAAATATTTTCTGTGCACATGCCACTCCATTTATAATGAAATCATTCTTCAAACCCTTGTCTATCATTATGGTACTTGACTGGTATAGAATACAATTACCGTTCCTATTTAAAAAAAAAAAGTTATTGCCCTTCCATTTGATTCTTGTCTGTCCACACAGCACAGTTCCCGAACCACTTGTACTAAGATCTTTCTTCAAATTTCTTGTCTATCATTATTTGATACTTTCAGGATTCCTGTTGTTCAATTTGACTCATACACATGCCAGACTGCAAGCATTTCTGGGCAATGCGTGCATCCATAAAGCAGAGAAAAATGCATAATTGGTATTTAAAAAAAAAAAAAAGCATAATGACAGAAGTATGAACTAGCCAAATAACAATGAACTAGATTAAGGACATTCATTATTGCCTAAGATAACATATCACCTACCTGGACCTAGTGAAGTTGAGAATGGTGAATTGGATAAAGTTTACTTTTCAGTTTTACTAAATTTGTCAAAACACAGCACTTGTCAACTTCAGGGAATTTCCACATCCCACTATCATTTTCTTCAACAAAATTATAACTTGTGGGTATTTTTCTACAAATCAGCGAGACGTAGTTGCTTACGTAAGAAAGAATTTTGACATATCATAATTCTGTTTTAAACCGTGCAGCAACCCCAATCAACTGCACCTAAATTAGAGCTCATAAACATTCTTCCACGTAAGACAACTCTACTGGAGAACCCTATAGCAAAGTGCAAACATGCAATCCTTGAACCTTCTATCAAGTAATATCTACCTTGAGAAAAATGAAACAAGACAAGAAGAATATGAATGCAGCAAGAATACATAGTTGTAGCAATGATCACTCCTCCTTTGAGCACATTGAAGAGACCAACTTGACAATCTGTGTCATTGGTGCATCATTCTGCAGGAAATAATTTTAGTTAAAATTAGCCACATAGTGTTTCTTTTTGTTTTCTTTTTAAAATGATCACTTCAATTGAACAAGTTTTATGGAAGTTGGTGTCAGCTACACATAGTTTCCATAAAACCTATTAGTATTTCATTGAAAGAGTAAAAGTTATCATCTAAAGTCCAATCACCAGATGTATCTATGTATAAAGTTTGACATTATGAAGTTATTCTTCATCAATATATAGGTACCATAGGAAATAAACATAATTGCCATTGTGGTCATATATTGGAAGAAACCAAAAATATGATGATATATTGCATTGTATCTGGTCAACTTACCAGAAGAACAACATCAAACGATTCTTGATAGCAGCTAAGTGAGTTCTCAATGTTGTGATTCCTGATAAAAACAAAATGGTACAGCAGCTCAGTAATTTCTTGTTTTTTCAAAACTACTACACCAAATTACTGCAAGAAAGGGAAATTAGAATTTGAAGAACAACTATAAAGATGTCCATTTGCAGACAGAATAAACATTCAAAGAAACAGGAAGACATTGCTCAAACTATATCAGGTCATTTGAGAAGACAAAACAAAAGGCTTCTCTGAGAATTATGTCAATTATGGCATAATATCCAAAGACTTCCTACAGTCGTCCCAAACCCTCAAAGCACGATGAACAAAATAGAATCAGATCGTGAATGTAACTTGTGGCATTATGCATTTAGGAGGTAGAGGAAGAAGGGCCAAAAAAAAAAAAAAAAAAACCCTATCACATCCGGAATCTAGATCATAAAACAGGTGATATCAGTTTAATTTTTTTTTTTAAAAAAATGATGACAATTTGCTTTTCAATGTTCTTTGGCCTTTTATTCATAAGCTGAGCTAGCAAAGTTTAATGTTTTCTCAATTATCCCCCTCATATGCTGTCATTCAATGCTTTAAATTAAAGCTACTAAGAATCTTTTGGAAAAAAGTTGAGAGAACTTGATTAAATACTTATTTTGCTATCGCTACAATGTTGCTTCATTCCTCTCTTGAATCAGCTCAATGTCGACATTTTCATAAACCAGTTCAATATCAATTTGCTATGAACCTACTTGCAACTGATCAAACTAAACAAAATTTTATTGTGTGAGAGAGAGATGAGCCATCAGTCC